GTCTTTGGAGGGAAGTATCAGTGTGTGATTGGCAAGCTGAGTCCCTAGCACGGGACTGAAGGTACAAAGGATCAGACTAAGTTACAAGCCGTGGATAGTGTGTTGTCAGTTGTAGCATTGAAGAGCGAAGCTACACCACCTAAACTAATGTTTACAGCACCTAAACTAATTATATTTTACAATTAAAAGTTTAATTACTTTAAATTCTTACGTCTCAATCTGCTGCAGATGAAAGGCCTGAAAATTGACATTAACAGTGCGGGAAGAAACAAATACATTAGCATGGAACATAATGTGGAACTAACTAAGGCTTGGGGACTAACGAAATCCATAGAAGGGTGTTATATATTTACAATACAAAAAAAAAGCTAATTGTATTCTGTGAAAGTTACAGAGAAAAATGATGTCATCAGTTTACTGATACACTTAGTAAAAGAAAAGAAAAAAAAAGGGGGGGGGTATTATCCACGGTTACAACACTTCATGGGTCTCACAACATCACTCTGGTCTTGACACTGTAGCTAATCCTGTACCTCTGTTTCCACACGGAGATGTGTTTCCTCTAACCTGAATCTAACCTCATTCTAACCATAACCCCTGAGGTAGCATACTTAATTTCATTTAGTTTTAAATTAAATGTGCATAATTAACATTACTGCTATTAATCTAAATGTGCATTAGTCACACAAAAAAAGGAATATTTGGACAAACAGTAAATAAACCTAATCATAAATCACCCGATCTGTTAAAAAGACAGTGGATGCTGTTAGGATGTTCTTAACCCACTGTTTACCTTCTAAAAGAAACATTTTATGTTTGCTTTGTAAAAGATAATATTCTGTAGTTTGGTCCTTTAACTTATAGCAGGTAGGCCCACTGCCTGAATTTCAATATGAATATGAAAAACTGCTTTGAGCACAAAGAACTTGTTTTCTTGAAATCAAACACTCTAGATGAGTGACCAAAGGCTGCTTTTGCAAACTGACCTAAAAGTTTAGAAGTTAAAAATGTACCTACTAAACATTCAAATAGTTTTTTTTTTAAACGGATTCAGCCTCAAAGGCATGTTTTCCAATTAGACATGGCAGGAGTGCGCTTATTTTTTATGTGTGGGTGATAGATGACGCTCAGTAGGTTTCGCATGATCACAGAAAGAAGCAAAGGCATAAATTACTATTGTATTACAGACACAGGGGTCATTAAATCGTTCAAAATATATGTGTGCGATTTATAAAGTTAAAATCTGCCGCAAAAATGCTTCCTGCTGCCAGTCTTAAATCCAGGTGCCAGCAAATCAAAGCAATTTATTACCAGTGTTCGTGTCCAATTACAGGAGGTTAGGATGGAAAATATGCTCAAAGGGCCGTCAAGAATCCTGTCGCACCTGTCAGCTGACTCATGGACGGGGTGAGACGGCTTTGTTGTGTAGATCTGTCCTTTCTGTCTTTTTTTTTGTCACAAACTGTTCAATGTCTCTTACAGTTTCCCTCCACCCTCAGCTCACTTCTCTCCCTATCTGCCTCATTGCTTTTCCTCACTGAGCTGATGAGACAGCCACCGGGTGCACGTACAGCACTACAGAAGAAAAAAGGAAGATGGGAGATGTGAGAAGTGGTTGTCTGGTGAGTTAGAAGCTAAACATTCTGGTTTGATCCCCTCTCTGTTTGTTAAGCTGTCACAATTGAAACAACGCCCAGCAGACGTAGCAGGCAGATTACAGAGAATCGCTGTCAGCAAATTGTTTGCTCAGAAATGCCGATTATTCAGGGCCTTCCACTACACAGGCAGCCAAATCAAAACTGTGTCAACAACAATTAAACCATGAAATGTTGCCTTGTTGTGAAGGATTTGTAAGAGAAATGCACACATCACCAAGGACCTTTTTTTCCAATTAGGCAAATATTGTTTTTCTGTGATCTATTCCTATGTTTACACGTGTTACCAGCACAGCTACTAGAGTGCCAGTAAGAGAAATAAAAAATAATTTTAAAAAATCACTGAATTGCTGCAAAAAATATAATGTTTTTTTCATGAGCCCCAGCCGTGTCCCCCCTCTGAGGGGTTTGAGGTGAAAAGGAAACCACTCTTAATAATTCACCAGCCCAAGAAGAAAGAAAATGCTTTTAAAAGACATTTGAGGGTTGATACAAGCATAAGCTAGGTTTCAGTAACATGGTGTTTACAGTGAAAGCACCAGTGGTTCTGCACTAAATCTTTTCCTTACTTTTCTCTTAAACCTCTGACCTGAGCGACTTTCAGATCTTACTGTATTTTCAAATATGAGATGTTACCAAAACCTATACAACATATATACTGCAGCTTTTACAAGCTCCTAAACGAACTGATGTTACTCTTACTTTAACATCAGGGGGTAAAATATGTAGTTTGTGTCGATCTGCTTTTCTGAATTGTTTATTTATGCCATTTCATTTCACGCCTCCCCTCTCAAAACATGTTGCACTGCTCCTCATCTCAGTAACACCTGCTCCTTCAGGAACAGCCACTGTCAGAACCCTGGCTTATAAATGTGGGGATGAAATCATGTCCAATCATGTATTTGAAAAGCAACAAACAAATAATTAAAATTAAACAATTAAACAATATTTATATAGTTTATATTGAGAATACCTTGTCTGTTACTTTTCTATTCTTAGCACTAAGTGCCTTGTTTCTAGCCCTTTGCTGCTGTAGCTTTGTGAATTTCCCCATTGTGGGACTAATAAAGGTTCATCTTATATTATCATTAATATTATTATTATTATTATTGCAATAAAGTTTGCAGAAGGGCATAAGAAGCAGTGTTAATATGTTCATTTATTCCATTGTTTAAGCTACGCTGGTATGGTCAATGAAAAGTATAATGACAAATCATTTCTGACAATCTTTTCTTTTATGATAACAGGACTAAAGGTAACAAAAACTGAAGAAATAAATAACCTATGACAAAATGTATTTAAAGTGTCATCAACAAATCAAAACAAAATGATCAAAGCATCTGTTAACTAATTAGAATTAGTTTGAATTACGACTTTGGAGCCAAGTGAGCATTTAGCATTAGTGGTTACACTAATAATCAGCATCTCGCACTTTAGAACAATTAGCAAAGTCGCAAGTTGTACCAGCAATCACAGTGCAAGTGATTCAAGAAACAGCAACACAACAGCTGGGACAAATCATAAACACAGGCAGACCAAAGATTTCTAAAAGTTAATAATAGTAATAATAATAATAATAATAAAATATCAAGCTAACATAACATTATTAACTAAACAGGGTTAACATGGTACCCTGCAGGGCTGAGTGAAGGATTAATGTAGGCTGTCAACCATCAAATCCTCCTCTAGTTAAAGGAAGAGTACTGTACATTTTGGCTGCTCCTGTCAGGCTAAACCCAAACGACCACTGTAAGAGTATTTCAGCGCACACGCGGGTGAACACAGCTTCTGCTCTGCAGTGCAAAGTACAGGTGGCTTCGATAATTCCAGATGAGATAGGCAGTGAGTAAACTGCTATGTTTAAGCTGTCAGAATTTGGGAATAACAAATGTATTTACTGAGGAGAATGGTTTTGTTTTACTAGGACAGAGTGACAGGGACACTGTGTGTGAACCCATGAGTCAGGCAGAAACAAGCAGCTACACCTTCCCAGCCTTGCTTTCGTTAGTTTTGGTTAATTATCATTAAATCAAACAAACAAAATATGAAATAAACTAAGATGCATTTGGTCAAATAACTAAGACTAACACTAAATGAAGGTTTTATGTGTTGCATAAATCGGATCTGAGAGATGCATTAGAGACAATCTTGCCTCTTCTGTGCTACAATAGATTTAATGTATCAGCTGTAACTACAGAGAAATCTGACTATTACTGTGGATGAACAGATGGTGCTGGAAAATGACTCAGCATCTGGACTTTTTACCATACAACCTAAAGTGTTAATGAAAAAAATAAAATACAATTTATGCATTAGAATAACTTTACTGTGGGTGAAACTATTCATCATAACTTTGTTGCTTCACAATGGCCATTTTTTTCACCTTCTTGAGTCTGTCTAATTCAGTCAAGTGTTCTTTTCATAACTTTTATAACTGTCCTTGAATATAAGCTGTTATGGATTTCATTCAAACATTCTGTTTTGTGGTCCAACCTTGTTCTTTTGATTAGCTGATCTGCAGAGCGGTAACTGAATTTGATTGTTAAAATGTAAGTATTTGATATGGCTTCAAAGACCGGTGTCTCCTTTTTACAGTGAAAAGTATTGTAATTAATACAAATATTTTCATTATATACACATTTATGATGTAAGCATTCAGTATTTACTAAGAGTCTAATGTGTGTGTTCATCTCAACGAAGAAGCTATTTTTAACATACTGTGCAAAATGACATATTTGTGCATATCTTACACATCAAGAACCAAGAAAAACTTTAAGTTCAGGTGACACACATGGCATTTCACTTATGAATGTGTTTTAACCCTCAGAGGAGGGGAATTACAATATCACTGTACACTGATTACCCTCGGGACAAATTTGTCCCACTTCCCAAAAACAACTGTAAAAATATATATTATTATTACCCTGTTGTGTTCTAAAAATAAATTTCAAATGCAAGATCAGTTTGAACCAGAAAACACTTATTTTACAAAGATGAACACTAAATATTGAACACTAACACCTCACTCTCCTGCTCCTGAGCAGAGGCTGCAGATCCACATGCTGTGGTCCTTGCACAGGAACCTCTCACATTTGTAGCACACATGTCCTGCTTTCCTCTTGTCTTGTTTACAAAAGAAGCATGGCTTTCTGCCCTTGGGTTTCCTGTGAGAAGGGCCTGCAGTAGCAGTAGCACCCTGCAGGTCGGCCACCACACTTGCAGCGGCTGCTGAGCGGGGGCGGTGCACTCGCCAATGATGTTGGGCGTCACCAGCCCTTCTCCGACTTCTTCACTGAAGAGCCTCCTCCTGTGAGACTTCTGCCATTTCCAGGCCGGCTCGACTGCTGTCCACAGGATTAAGGCATTATAAAGGGAGATGTCCAGAAGGTTATGGAATAGAGCAAGCGGCCACTGGTTCACTCTCCTCCGGCAGGAGTACATGCTGACGACCTAACAAAAACCCACAAACATAAAACAAGATAATATGAATAAGTGATCCAAGTATTCTTTCTCATGAAACACATTTTATTTGAAAATGCTTGTTTTGAAAAAAGAATCTACATATATTTTAGACAAGAATAAATAAATGTGTGTGTAACAGATGCATAATGGAACCCACCTTATCCAGGTTGTCCACTCCTCCTTTGCACCTGTTGTAATCCTGGATGATTACGGGCTTCCTCTTCGGTTCCTCATTGACATGTAGGGCGCGGTGCTTTGTGCTCAGGAGGAGCACATTCCAGGACTGTCGGGGGATGTAAGACACGACAGTGTGGGTCCTTGTGAGGAATGCACCGCTCTCCCTTTTGTCTGGAGCAACTGAAGAGGAAGCTCGGGTTTGTTCCTCTGGATGGTGCCAACCAGGGAGAGCTTCTTCTTCAACAGCTCCTCTGCCAGTCCAAATGAAGTGAAGAAGTTGTCACAGGTGACAAGTGTGTCCTTGGAGCCCCTCTGTTAGCTCCAGGACCACCCGCTTTCCCTGGTTGATCTTGGGAGTGCTGGCTGTTTTGCCTGTATATACCTAAATCAAATTAAATCAAATCAAGTCAACATCCACTTGATCAAAGTATTTTACATGGGCAGAATAAAGTCACAATAAATAACTACAACAAAATAAATAGGATCAGTGGAAAAATACCTGTAGTTTCCAGGTGTAGGATGTTTTCGCATCGCATGTTACCCAAATCTTCAGTCCATATTTAGCCGGCTTTTTTGTCATGTATTGCCTAAACTTGCATCTCCCCCTGAAAGGTACTAGTTGCTCATCAACACAGATGTCTCTGTTCCTGGTTTCAATGGCATCAGGAGCTGCTGCGTCCACATACCCCACACCTGGTGGGAAAAGTCCCACATAAGCCTGCAGTTCAACCCCATGTAAATCACGTCACTCACCCGCCAAGCACTGATGAAACCGCTTGTGGGACATGGTCGCTTTGAAAATGGTCCGTTCAGTTTTGTCATTCCACAGACTGAGGGTTGATTTGCCTATGGACCTGTATTCCCCGGTCAAAAGGAAAAGTCCCACATAAGCCTGCAGTTCAACCCCATGTAAATCACGTCACTCACCCGCCAAGCATCTCCCATGCAGATTGGTCATTGCAACAATATGCTCCAGGATCCCATCAGTGAGCAGCAGACCAAAGCTGGACAACGGGTCGGTGATGTGGGCCACAGCGATAGTTGTGGGTCCTGGCACCAAAGCGGTGGTGGTTGGGACATACTGCAGTGTCTCATCATTCATGGGGGACCAGAGTATCCTTCCAACCTTGGAAGCCCAAGCTTGCTCAGCTGCTTCCTCCATCTCACTTGCGCTGTCACGTGAAGACTCCTCTGCTGGGCCCGGGTCTACTTCAGAGGTTGACACTGAGGAGATCTCAGAGTCCTCAGTGGAGGACGAAGTGCCTTTCTCACTCTCGCTCTGCATTATTTCATCCAAAGCTTCTCTTGCGCTGAAACATGCCATCTTTCCACCTACTAATGCTACAGACTACTCCCGCACTACTGCTCATACTTATACCTTTGGCAGCAGTGCACCTGCATACACAACTCGAACTTGAAAACCCAAAGTCCAATTTTGTCTGGGTTCTTGCTTCTCATCTTGCATTGTTTATAGAGTGCGACCTTCTCTTAGAAAACACTTATGAAGTCGGACACTCGTGAACGCCCCCACAACGCACAGAGTTTCTCATCTTGAATTATTACAAAACACAGAATGTGGCCTTCTAAAGGAAAACACTTATGAAGTTGGACTGACACACAACTACTTGGTTGTTTTTATGTGTACGTGTGCACGCACACATGCGTGCATGTGCGGACATACTCGCGTATATTCACACACATTCACACAGACAAAAATGCATTGATATATCATCAGTAGTGATACACGCTATCATTTTAATGCTTTATTAGCAAGTGACCCTAATACCAAAAAGCTGTGGAAAAGGATTTTTTAAGTTTTAAAAAAAATAAATATCCTGTAGCAAATTTGAGCTACATTCATTCAACACAGCCAAAATGGCTTGAAAAAGAAAAATGCAAAACCCAAGTTTGTCCCTGAAGAACTCCAGAGGGTTAAAAAGAGACCTCTGGCATCTGCAGAATGACTAAACAATGTACAGTGGCTACAGTATACGAGTCAGTACACTGCATACTTTTTTAAACCAGTGTAGTAAAACATAATGTGCCATTTTTGTTGACTTGCAGTAGACTATGTTTATACCAACATAACTTTTCCACCATCAAGAATGAAATCTACCCTGAAACTGCTTTTTATGGGGGATGCCAACTGCTTCACCCCTGAGCGATTTCAAGAGCATTAGACTCACTGCAAACCACATCACATTACACCACAGACAACATACAACTGTACAAAT